AGCTGTGTGCAGTAGTCTTCACATGGCTGTAGTAGTCTTTGCATGGCTGTAGAAGTCTTTGCACAGGTGCAGTAGTCTGTACATGGCTGTAGTAGTCTTTACATGGTTGTTGTAGTCTTCACACAGCTCCAGCAGTCTTTATATGGCTGTAGTAGTCTTGACACAGTGTGCTGTAGTCTTTACAAGGCTGTAGTCATCTTGTGACTGCAGTAGTATTTACACGGCTGTGGTAGTCTTCGTATGGCTGCAATATTATTTACACAGCTGTATTAGTCATTTAGACAGTGTGCAGATTTGTTTGCACAGCTGCAGTAGCATTTAGATGGGTGCAGTAATCTTTAATTGCTACAGAAGGTTTTACATGTCTGCAGAAGTCTTTATACAGCTGTAGTAATCTTTACAGTGTGCAGGAGCTTTTACACAGTTGCAGCAGCCTTTTCACGGCTGCAGTAGTCTTTACAAGGAAGTAGTAGTCTTGGCTGGAATATTTTTTTTATAGCTGTAGGAGCCTCGATAAGGCTGCTGTGATGTTTACACAGCTGCAGTAGTCTTTATGTGGCTGCAGTAGTCTGTTACAGGCTGCACTAGTCTTTATACGGCTATAGTAATATTTATACGGCTGCAGTAGTCTTTACGCGGCTGCAGTAGTCTTTACACAGCTGCAGTAGTCTTTACAAGGCAGCAGCAGTCTTTACATGGCAGCAGTAGTCTTTACAAGGCAACAGTAGATTTTACACAGCTGCAGTAGTCTTTACAAGGCAGCAGTAGTCTTTACATGGCTGCAGTAGTCTTTACTAGGCAGCAGTAGTCTTTACACAGCTGCAGTAGTCTTTACAAGGCTGTAGTAGTGTTTATATGGCTGCAGTAGTCTTTACATGGTATGCAGTGATCTTTACACAGCTGCAGTAGCCTTTACACCACTGCAATAGTCACAACAAGTCGTCTTTAAAAGGCTATAGTAGTCTTAATATGGCTGCACTAGTCCTTATACGGCTGCAGTAGTCTTTACAAGGCTGCAGTAGTCTTTACACAGTGTGCAGTAACCTTTACAAAGCTGTAGTATAGAGTTCATACACAGCTCTAGACTGCCCTCTGGTGGAGGACAGAGTTGAGGCTGAGATATCTAATTACACATCAAAAATCTAAAGTAATAATGTAATGTACTTTTTTTTTTTTTAGTTTTATGACTATTCAAATCTTAAGAGCTATCCCTGTTTATCTATCTATCTAACTATCTATCTATCTATCTATCTATCTATCTATCTATCTATCTATCTATCTATCTATCTATCCAAGTACCCTTGCAGAAGGCGATTCTCAGTGTAGAGCTGCATATTGTGTGTAAAGTGCAGACGGCGTGTCTGAGTTTAATAACCTGACTAATGTAGAGCGCTGATGGAGGGGAGATGGATTTCATTAACAGGCTGATTTATCACAGACCAGGAAACTGAGTAATGACACCAGCTTTATCTCTCTCTCTATCTCTCTCTCTCTTTCTCACTCTCTCAGAGCACGGAGAGACTGAAGATGCTGAGCTCCATTATGTTACAATCCTAATGACAGTCTCAATCATATATAAACCCAAAAACATTCATTTAAAGCTACATTACACTGTGTTTAAAAATGGAACAGTATATGTATAAATATATACATAAATAATGATAAAGTCTAACTCAAATTTCAGGATGAATTGAACAAAAGTACTTAGAACAAATGTAGTTACATTGTGTCTGTGTGTAATATGTCTCACAAGTTTGGAATGTATGTAACTAATCTTCTCCTCCTTTTTTTTACGGCAGTCTGAACATTTTTGGACAGAAAATGTACAAACACACACACACACACACACACACACACACACACACACATACTCACAGAGCGAATGTGTTTTTTCCGGCTCTGACAGCATTAATGATGCTCAGAAAGTCAGAGCATGATCTGTGACAGAAATACAAACAGACAACACTGAGAGAGAGAGAGGGAGAGGGAGAGAGAGAGAGAGAGAGAGAGAGAGAGAGAGAGAGAGAGAGAGAGAGAGAGAGAGAGAAAGAGAGAAGGTAAAAGAGAAAGAAAAGGAATAAGAAAAATAAAAGAGGGAAAAGAATGGAGAGAGCAAAAAAGCAAAGGGAGCCAAGAGAGAGAGAGTAAAAAGAGTGAGAGAGGAAGAAAGAAATTGCAAGAGGGAAAGAGAGAGAGAGACAGAGTAAGAGAGAGTGGAACATGAATGAGAGAGGAAAAGAGAGAGCGTGAGAGAGAGGAAAATGAGTGAGAGAGGAATAGAGAGCATGAGAGCGAGAGAGAGGAAATAATGTGCAGTAGAAGAGTGCAGCCTGAGGCGGTTTGTATGCTTCTCCTACGTCAGTATCGTTAGTGTATTTATAATTCAAATGTATTCCTTTAATAATTCAGCAGGGCAGAGTTTCAAAGAGGAGCGTGTGAGATTATGAAGAGAGGGATGAAAGAAGAGAGAGAGAGAGAGAGTAAATAAATGACCTCAGACTCTGACCCCCTTTACTTTCTGTACATTCTCATCACTGAGTAACGCAGTAATGCTGTAAATCTCATTCATTCACACTCAATCTCTGTATTATAATGTGTTTTAAAGCTTCTTTTACAGCCTTATAATGCAGTATGAAGTGTTATGATCTCTATAGGACACATTCACTTTTTTCACATTACAGAACTCTCTTTATTTTCTCTGTTAAAACTTCATACTTGCAGTTTGCATATTTTGCACACAATACCATTAATGGTATAGATAGATAGATAGACAGATAGAGAGAGAGAGAGAAAATAAAGTCTATGAGAATCTGTGACCACAAAAATAACACATTATGAGACATTCATAAAACATTATAAATATTTACATCAATGTATCATGTCAATCCATGTTTAATATGCATTATGATTTATTATAATGCATTATTAGTGGTGTTCACTGTCAGGGCCACAGAAACTCTCAGCCTGCATAGCATAACACCCTGAGTCAGGACTTATTAACAGCTTATTAATGATTTTTATCTGTACTGATTAATCACTTATAGTCATTCTAATGTGTATTTGCAAGCTTTAAAGGGGCACTCCAGTGATTTTTTTCAGAATTTCTGTTAAAATAAATGTGATGATGTCTGCCTGATGTCTGAGTCACTGTTTTATGATAGTTTTGAGAAGTTAAACTCTAAACATGCAGGGTGCTGTGAGGCAAAATAGTCCCAGAAGAAAACTTATTAATTCAGATTTTCCATCATCAACATTCCATATTGATACTCAATAATATTCCCGCGATACCTCTCATTAGCCACCAGGTGGTGTCACTGGGAAAAGCAGATTATAGATTGATCTCAGACTTTCTGTTAGAGACACAATAAAATAAATCAGAAGAAAGAAAGACAGAATAAATCAGAAGAAAGAAAGACAGAATAAGGGTAAAGGTCACTGAAAGTCAGCAGATCAGAATCAAAATGATACTAAGATTTGCAGAAATGTTACATAACGTACTTACTGAGAGAGAGAGAGCGGGGGGAGAGAAAATAGATTGAAAAAGATAGAGACAAAGAGAAACGATAAAGAGAGAGGGTAAGAGAGAAAAAGAGGGAACGAAAGAGAGAGAGAGAGAAGAGGAAAAAGGAAAAAGTGAGTAAGAGAAAAATCAAGTGAGGGAACGAGTAACGACAAAAAGAAAAAGAGAAATAAAGTGAGATAAGACAGAACGACATAAAAGGGAGAGAGAAGAAAGAGAGAGAGCGAGAGAGACAGAGAGAGAGAAGAAGAGAAAAAAACGGAGGAGATACAGCAAAAAGAAAGAGATAGATATATAGACAGACAGATAAAGAGAGAGAGAGAGAGAGAGAGAGAGAGAGAAAGAGAGATGGAGGGCTAGATGGATAGAGAAAGAAACAGAGTGAGAGAGTGAGACAGAGAGAGAGCGTGTAGTGCAGAGAAAATAAAAAAACTGAGAGAATGAAAAAAGCTGAGCGTTTATTATTAAACTGAAATAAATGATTAACCTTATAGTTGATTTAATTATTATGATAATTCATCTAATTTCTGCTCCCATATTTTTTGCAGATATTTAAAACTTTTCCTGATTTCCTGAAGAAAAGCTAATTAAAATGAAACTATAGATAAATAAAATAGATCACATTCCATCAGTCTGCCTATTCAAATAATAATAATAATAATAATAATAATAATAATAATAATATAATAATATAGAACAATATTTCGTGTCTTTTTGAGATATGAAGTGTCTAAATTTAAATAAATGTAATTATTTCCATTCAGTTAAAATTGTGAATTATTTCGTTAGATTATATATTTTCGAAATTTGATCAAATTACAGAAACTAAATTTGTGGAATTGTTTTTTTTTAAATCAGCAAAATATGGAATCAGGATGTGAAATAAACTCATCAGAGCAGCAGCAGATTTACCTGCTTTATTCCCTCTTTGCAAATTTGCTAAGTTTCATTTTTATTGTTTTATTATTTTAAAGCTGCGAAGTGAAAATATGAGCGATATAAGCACATATCGATCTCTGATAGCGGTTTATTAATATCAGTAAATCCTGTACATCCGGCCTCTCTGATTAATACCTCACCAACATCCTCCAGAACTGTGAACGAGACTATTTTACATGTTATTTGTTTATGTTATCATTTATTTGTTCATCTTTTTTTTTTTTTTTGCTGCTGCTGAGCGCCGATTGGCTGCGCTCCCCCCTCCTAGCGCGCGCTCAGGGTCCAATTGAAGCGCGTACTGAGCGCGCGCGGAGAGAGACTCCGATCAAAAAGAGAGAGAGAGAGTCTGAGTGTGTGTGTGAGAGAGTGTGAGGGTGTGAGGGGTTAGGACCGCGCGCGCTGAGCCTCTGCAGCATGAGCTCTGACACACGCGGACACACAGCACGCACACGAATCGCGCACGAGCTGCTGGAGCTACTCAAACTGAACTGAACTTAATCTTAATCTACAGTATCTTCATCATCAGGAGCTGCACATGCTGATGGCGCAAAGAGTAAGAACCTCTATAACATCTCTACTACATCTCTGTAACACCTCTATCACATAGAACTATATTACACTGATTCTGCATTCTGACTATAATATACTGTTATACCTTTACATACAGTGTCATTATATTACAGTACATTGTGACATTGATTATACCATCACTACACTATACAGTGTCATATACATTATACTATATAATTATGTTATATGACTGCACTATATTGCACCAATACTGTATGGTTTTATACTATCAAATTATAATTATATCATATTATAACATAACAAAATATATACCATCCTTTTATGTGTATTATATTAAGCTATAATGTGGGCTCTATGTATTTAAACCCTAAAACATTATGCTATATCATATGATTATACTCTTTCAGTATAATAATATACAGTATACTATTATATACTGTAATATATATTGTACATACATTGTACTAATACTAACCAATAAAACCATACTACACCATATGTATATGTACATATATATATACACACTGCTGTATTATACGTACAGTGTATACAGTGACCAGGATGTTATATTATATTACATTATATTATATGCATAACTATTACAAACTGTAATATTATACTTCATATACATTATACTAGTGCTGCATTGCTGTATAGTAGGCTATAAATCTGCACTATAACATGTATTTTATATGTGTATTTATACCATACCATATTATAGGCTGCTGTATGACTAGTATAGTAACGCATATTATACATACAGTCTATGCAGTAACCAGGATATTATATTATATTATATTATATTATTACACTGTATCAATACTACATGGCTTTATCCTACACAGCCATGCTATATTACATTATACAACATGTGCATAATAAAACAGCATTATATACTATAAGATTACACTTCATTTGACTAATATTGCATGATTGTATATGTGTAATATTAAATATGTGTAATATATACTTTACTATAAATTATATTTGTATTATATTACTGTATGGCCACTGTATGATTGTGTATACTATACGTAAAGGTGGCGCTCAGCTCAGCTTAGCTTTTATCAGACAGTTAAGCTCAGAGCTCACTTTTAATAAACATCTGAAAGCACAGCTCTTATTAATTAAAATTCTCTTTGGTGTTTATCTTTTTGATCTGATCTGTGTTTTTGTCCTGATTTTAAATGAATACTCATAGTTTGTTCTATTGCTGTTAAATATTATCTCTGGTCTGTAAAGCACTTTGAGCTGCAACCAGCATGAAAAGGCATTATATTATATTATATTATATTATATTATATTATATGTAAATGGTGTAATGTTTTGTACTATATATAGTGTTATAACTGTAATAATGTAATTACACCATTTATCAATGCTGCATGGCTTTATGCTATTAGATGAAACTATATTATTAATTACTATGTTTTTTAACAATATACTGTATAACTTCACTGTAATATGTATTATAAATGTATGTGAATTATAGACCTTATTAAACTGTATTATATCAGATTACAAAATGTTATTTTATACCATATGATCACATTTACTTCTATTTGATCATATTGCACTGTATATTATATTATCTTATATTAAATTATATTATATTATATTATATTATCTTATATTAAATTATATTACACTGCATATTGTGTCATTATATGCTTTTATTATTATTAGACTATATTTTTGTTATTATGATATTTATTTTGTCATATTATTATTATTATTATTTGAACATTTTTGTACTGCAATGTGTTGTAGTGATTAATATAATTACGCTGTAATGTACTTATACTGTACTATACTTTGTACTGTGCCAAATTTTATATCATGTTCAAGCTTATAATGGTGTATAATGCAGTATACCCCCCCACACACACACACACACCATGTGAATGGTGTAATCGTTATTGATTGTTATTGATGTTGTTGTTTATTACAGTATGAGGATTTGGGGCAGTACGGTGGGGTGGATGGAGTGGGATTGTATGCGGACCCCCATGCCCCCCGAACTCTGGGTCACCTGCACCACGCGCCCCCGCAGGGGCATTACGGCACACACACTCCACACGGCATTATGGGTACAGGAATGGGCACGGGCATCAACGACACACTGAAGAGGGACAAAGACCACATCTATGGGTCAGTGTGGAAAAGAATCAATCAATAATCAATCACTGTTCACGCACATACGCACTAATACACAAATACATACACAAGTGTAGACCAACCTGCATTTATTAAATTTAAAGAAAAACAGCAATTAAGTAAGTCATTCATTGTTTAGCATCAGGAAAAAAAGTAGAAAGCATATTTAACAGAAAATTACTCAACAGCTAAATCTAATATCAGCTTGAGTGTTCAGTGAGTCACTCTTTACCTTTATTACAGCTTCCATTCTTTTCAGGAGACTCACTTTTAGTTTCTCAAAGAATCTGCAGACACACCTCCAAAGTTCAGTCTTAGAAGTTGGTTGATCCTTTTCTGAAGTAATCAAACATGGACTCTGGGGTGGTCAGTCCATTGTTCAGCTTCTTTGTTTGATGTGTCCGTCTCCTTTTCTCAGTGAGGTTCTTCTTGACAGCTACACATCCTTTCAGACCCACAGCGCTGAGTCGTCTTCTCACAGTAGAAGGATGGACAGAAACACCTGTGGATGTTTTCAGATCTGAAGCAGCTTGATTTACTCCTCTTTCTCAGAGATGAAAGCTTTATGTGCTGTTTATCTGAAGGGGGCAGTTTTGGTGTCTACCAGGTTTTCCAGGTGGCTGTTAGGAGTCCCAATTTCTCTGTAGTTTTTGATCAGTTTTTAAACTCCAGGTTCGGAAACTCCTTTTTCTTTCAACTTTCTCCTTCTGTATTGTCTGATGTTTAATCTTCTCAGAAATATCCCTTGAAAAATCAGTAAGTTGTACTCCATAATGATTATGACAGAAGGTTATATAAATTAAGTTTCTTTGACAAAATATCCAACAAACGTAGAATTGTCTAAATGAATTTTAGAATTTTTAGTGTTTGTTACTGTATGTCCCCCTTTTGCTCTAAACAGTGGCCCTCAAACACTGCTCAATTCAATGTTTCTTCTTCTTTGTTTCAAAAATGTTCAAAATTCAGAAATGTTCTATTGTTTATGTCCATACATGAATGATAAAATCTCAGATGTTTAGTGAGGGCTTAGATTTTTAGAGCCCACACTAATTTACCGGGAAGCAACATAATGGAATGGATATAGCTGGTAGCAAGCGAGGTGTCACTTATGCAGCCACTTGAGAGAACGCTGAAGTTACCGTTTAGTTTTGCCTTTAAAATGATGTTTTTATTTAGGATTGTTTGTGTGTTTTTATTATTTAAGACATTTCACATGTAACAGATAAGCAAAATGCAGTGGCTAGAAGCCCATTTCAGGTTTTAACCCCTTAAATATCCAGGCCCAAGGTTTTATTACACACTTCTATAACCTAAGAACAGTTCAGCCAGTTTGCATTAAAGTCACTGTAGTTACTGAATAATAAGTCTTAGAATGTAAAGTCTGGGATTTTAAAGTTTTAATCCAACAGTTAGGTCCAATCCTTGCTCACTTTTTTGTTTTGTTATAAAGTTTTTAAAAATTACAAACATTTCTGCTTTTTATTTTCAGGTTTAGATGAAAAAAACCTAGATTTTCAGTGTAGTTTCAGACTTCTGGTCTCCACTGTGAATGCAGCAGTAAAGCTGTTATATTAAATTATATTTTAAGCTGTAGTGAAAGAATGTAACAGTGAGGAGATGCTGTGAGGTTTATTACTGAGGTGATGATCTACTTTATTGTTGTAAATATGAACAGTAACAGTGCATTAGGTTTTCCTGTTTGAGATGTTGTTATAAGTTAAATATGAGCATTAATAACAGCATTATGATATATTTCTCTCTCTAGTCCACTTTTATTCCCCTTTACTTCTGTTAGAGATGTTGGTATTTAGTCGTATGCAAAAGCTTTGTCAAACTGTTTTCACTTAGAAAGTCAACCAACCTTTGTATATTAAATGGAAACAGTATTAAGATACTGCTCTGTCTGTAGTCATCGTTAAATCCGCCTGCTGCAGTAGATGTTAGATGTTGTTATATGATTTTAGACACTGTTATGTTATGTAAGATGCTGTTATATGATGTTATTATTTGATCTTGGATGTTGTTATATGATGCTAGATGTTATGTGGTGTTAGATGTCATTATATGATGTTAGATGTTATTATACAATGTTAGATGTTTGGATATGGTGTTTGATGTTATTACATGATGTTAGATGTTGTATGATGTTAGGTGTTATATGATGATATATGTTGTTATATGGTATTGGATGTTATCAATCATGTTTGATGTTGTTATGTGATATTAGATGTTATTATACAATGTTAGATGTTTCGATATGGTGTTAGATGCTATTACATGATTTTAGATGTTGTTGTATGATGTCCGATGTTATTATATGTTAGATGTTTGTATATGGCATTAAATGTTATGTGGTGTTAGATGTTATTACATGATTTTAGATGTTGTTATATGATTTTAGAAATTATATGACAGATGTTATATGCTGCTAGATGTTATGATCTTTGACATTGTCATACGATGATAAATGTAATATGATGTTTGATGTTATTAGATGATGTCAGATGTTATCATATGTTGTTTGATGTTATATGATGTTATACATATGTTGTTATATGATGCTAAATGTCATTATGTGTCAAACATGAGCAGTAAAAACCATATTGTGATGTTTTTCTCTGGACAGTCACCCTCTGTTCCCTCTGCTGGCGCTGGTGTTTGAGAAGTGTGAGTTGGCCACCTGCACACCCAGAGATCCTGGAGCAGGAGCTGGAGGAGATGTGTGTTCCTCAAACTCCTTCAATGAGGACATCGCTGTCTTCGCCAAACAGGTAACTACAACAATATATATCTTTACATATATTTAAATTTTATAATCACTTTTTACATCAATACTTTTTATGTCATAACCAACAACCATGTAGACTGAAATACTTAGACAAGTAAAGATACTTTTTAAATGTTTTATCAACTGTTTCAAAAGCAAGAACTTGTTAAATTCAGGACCAGTATATTGTAATGATTTTCTATATTTATCTGCCGCTATACTGCTTTTATGTTACCTAAAACATTGACTGCAAACATATGTAATTGCTATAAGTTAATATAATATAACATAATATAACAATAATATAAATATGTCTTTCTTTGGCTCATAATAACATCATAATTACAACCTTATTATTAATTATTACATGAAAGTCTGCGATGTGTTTTGGGTGTTAACTAAAACCGAAACCCAGCTAATAATAGATGAACATTATGAGTCAAACTCTGGATTATTTTTGCTGACAGAACTGATGTAAATGATAATATGTTTTTATTCTGCTTATTGCTTGTTTGAAACGCTCTGAAATGCAGTCAGTCAGCTTCTGTGTGTTTATCTCTGTGTAGATCCGGGCAGAGAAGCCTTTATTCACCTCCAACCCAGAGCTGGACAACCTGGTGAGAGTTTAATCTCTCGCGCGAACAATTTAGCGCCTTTATTTATCGTTTTTCAAATCGCGCGTGAGCTCATTCATCTCCCGTGTGTATTTCTACCTCCTCCAGATGATCCAGGCCATCCAGGTGCTGCGGTTCCACCTGCTGGAGCTGGAGAAGGTGGGCTCTAGATCATGTGGCGATAGTATGAGTTATGATCAAACTGCTCTGCGGTGATTAACTGATGTTAATTGGTGCGCGTGTGTTCAGGTGCACGAGCTGTGTGATAATTTCTGCCACCGCTACATCAGCTGTCTGAAGGGCAAGATGCCCATAGATCTGGTCATCGATGACAGAGACGGCTGTAAGTCAGACTTCGAGGAGCTGTCAGGGTCAACAAACCTGACAGAGGTGAGTTTTCATAACTTTCATAACTTCATAACGTCAAAATGAAATGACCTTTTTACAGTGTTAGCTCAGGTCTCTGCTCATAACACAATTCAGCCTATAATATCTTAAAACATCACATTCGAAACCTCGTTCTAAATCTATTTATTTATTTAAATTATTATTATTATTATTGTTATTATTATTATTATTATTATTATTATTATTATTATTATTATTATTATATAATAGTAGTAATAATAATAATGATGATGATGGTGATTATTATTATTGTTATTATTACTATTGTTATTGTTTTGTTTTGTTCATGTTGTCTACAAAATAATGTACAAATGTTTTTAGTAAGTTTTGTGTTTATTTTTAATTACTGTTAAATATATTTTAAGTTTATTACTAGTCATTTTATTACTAGTTGAGTTCATGACTACAGAGTTTAATTGAGTTTATTTGAGTTGGATGATGACAAGGATCGTGGTCATAATACTGATGATAGTAGTGATGAAGGTGATGATGGTGACGATGATGATATTGAAGGTGATAGTGATGATGATGATAATGAAGATGTTGAGAACGCTAATGATGATGGTGATGATGATGACGGTGATAATCATAGTGATGAAAATGATGGTGATGGACATGATCAAAATGATAATGATGAAGATGATGTTGATGGTAATGATGACAATATTGATGTGATTATGATGGTAGTGATAGTGATGAATATGGTGATGACAGGAATGGTGATGATGGTGATGATGAGGATGATGGTGTTGAGAAACGTGGTGATGATGATGATAATGAAGATGGTGATGCTGTTGACTAAGTAATGATGGTCATAGTGATCATGAAAATGATGGTGATATGATGGTGATAGATGTGATGAAGATTATGATTATGGAGATGATAGTAATGATAGTATTGATAATGAAGATGAAGATGATGAAGCTGATGATAAAGCAGTGCAGGTGCCCCCTTCCATTCGCCCTAATGATGTCTGTTAGATTTGCATGTGAATTGTCTCAGAGCTGATGGGATTAGTGCTGTTGGGGGGGGTGGGCTTTAGTGACCCTCACACACTCACAGCGGGGCTTCAGACTACATACACACACACACACACACACACACACATACACACACGCACACACACAGACATACACCTCGCATCATAAAGCCACAGTGTATTCGCTTTACACACAGTTGAGAATGAGAGATTTTTATGTCAACATGATGTTAAAAGAATACAGCAGCGAAGATAGATAGATAGATAGATAGATAGATAGATAGATAGATAGATAGATAGATAGATAGATAGATAGACAGATCTTATTATTTCAGATTTTCCACTGTTTTCCCATCATCAACATTCTATATACATCTTAGAAGACACAGAGGTCAGTAGGTCTACTGGTGGTTTTGGATAGTAAATATGTCTATTTTTGTGTTGTAGTCATGGCGACCCCTGGTTCCTATCACCACCACTGTAAAGAATTCTAAATAGTTTCACACCAAAACCACTCTGAATCACTCTGTTTACATCTCTATGACTAAATTATACAGACGTTTTGAAAAATTAGTGGAATTCCCCTTTAAGGTGCCATCCCTGGTCAATAAATGAATAAATGGCTTAATGGTGCAGGAGCAGTGTTAGCCAGCATTGACTCACCATAGCAGCACTGATGCTTCAATGGCAGTGACATGTTTGGTGTATCAGTTCCTCTTCTGTAAATGCTGTTCTAGTTTGGTTTTGCGCTCTTCCTCACATTAACTGAGATCTTACTCATCTCCTCTTCTGTCTTCAGTGTGAGAAATGAGGAACAGTCACTCTTCACACCAAACTCCTGGGAAACTGGGCAAGTTTTCAGATTTACAGATCTGCAGCACATTGTAAAGTCTTTAAAGGAATCTGGGCAGAGTTACAGTTTCTAGACTATAAAGCACCAACTGGGTGAACCAGTCTGCTACAGCGCCACCCTGAGGCAGAGCAGTGCTGCAGCTCTAGTTAGTTAAGATCACCAAAGACAGAAGCTGATAAACAATGAGCTTCACTGAATCTGGATTTGAGTGTCTATTTTTCTCTAAAGGACAGCACAACGTCATAATAAGCTTGTTTTCAGGGACCCCCCAGAATTTAAATTTACATTTAGGGGTCCAAGAGGCTAATTAAGGAGTCTCGGACCCCCTAGGACCTCTCCATCCTGATTTAATTTTTAAATTGATTTGTAATTTCTTCTCTTTAAAATCTATTGTTGTAATCGTGTTTTAATCATGCTTCTACATTTTTTTTATACTCTCGAATTATCTTAATATTTTCTCATTTTTAAAACACTTTGAATGACCGCAGTGTATGAAAGGAGCTGTATAAAAACTGTAAACTTTCCCTAAACATTGACGCAAATTAGGTGATAAAGGGACAGAGGTTGTCCGAACGTCTGCGCACACACAGTAACTGCTGTGTCCTAATGAGTAAACAGTGAAGAGCCTTCTTTTGCTTATTGTGTGCATTGTTTGTTGGAGCTTATTCTTCTGGCCATCAGGCAAACAGCTGACGCTGAGGGTCTGGAGGGTCCGGCCTGCTGTTTATCTTCAGCCTGAGCCGTCTGAGTACCTGAGAGAGAGAGTGTGTGTGTGTGGATATAAAGCAGCTCTGCCGCTCGCTAGTGTTCATTCGGACGGCAGAGAGAGAGCTTCTTCTGGACCTTTCTTCAGCCCTGCTCAGGCTCCTGCGTTTCTACACTACTCTTCTCCACTGTAGGCTAGAGTCCAGCTTGTGGTTGTGTAGTTCTTCTGGCAAAGGACAGACAGAATGGTAACTCTTTGAAATCTAGGCCTCTTATTCACTCAGTAATCTTAAGACTTCTTATTCAGTTATGTTCTGTAGGTATGAGTGGAAGATCTTGAGCTAAATGTCAGTAATGGAATACCACTGGAAATGTTTTTTAGTCCAAGACTAGGCTTAATCCAGGTCTGGGAAGCCAGCAAACAGAGTTTAAGAGGTTCATATTCCTCCATCAATCTGAAGAACCATTTCACCATGCAAAGAACCATTTAGCATGCAAATGGTTGTTTGAGTGTTCATGGTTCTATGTAGAACCATTGTCTTTGTAGTAACTTTCTAGGAGAAGGAAACATGTTCCATGACCATTTCTCAAATAGGCTGGTATTATTTCATGATTTTATGACAGTTTTGCTGGTTTTCCTTCCAGAATCCAGCATCTTGGAGGGATTTGGATGATGCCCACTCCACTCCTTCAGTTGGGACCCCAGGACCATCCAGCGGGGGCCACGCTTCACAAAGTGGAGACAATAGCAGTGAACTCGGTGAGTAAAACCTGCTTCTAAACCTTCTTCTTGCTGAAGCCATGCTTTTTCCAGCTTCTGTCATCATTAGGGTGCTGTTTCTTTGCCTTCTTTGCCTTCTGAACCACTGGCTTTTGTTTTGTCCATTGGTACCTGCTGTTTGTCCATTGGTTATTGCACAATGTTTGGTTGGTACATTGAAAAGTAGAGCTGGCTAATTAGCATGAGCTAATAATCAGCTAATTATTAGCCCAATCTTGTGAAAACACCAGCATAGTTCAACTTGGTCTATGCTGTAAAACTGGATGCATGTAGATCCAGTTTGTTCTCGTCCGTGAGGTGTTTTCTTAGCAACATTCTGTGGAGCATTAGCTTGATATCATAACAATAACATAACTCTTTCTGGTGCTGTATAGAACCTGTTTCAAAAAAGAAATGGATTCACTACCAGTCAAAGACCTCTGTTCTACACTTTCAAAAAAGATGGTTCTCCAGGGGTGCTTTAGTAAAGACTGGTTCTCTATATGTAACCATGAACACTCAAAGAAACATTTGCATGCATAAATGGTTATTTGCATGGTGAAATGGTTCTTCAGATGGAGAATGTGTTGTATATGGTTTTGTACAGAATCATTTTGAACATGGTTCTATATAGCACCCAAAAAGCGGTTCTTCTAGTGTTAATATGTCAAGCTTGTAAGATTGTGTCCATCAATTTGAAGAACTATTTCACCATGCAAAGAACCATTTAAGCACGCAAATGGTTAATTGAGTGTTCATAGGTCTATACAGAACCATTGTCTTTACTAAAGAACCCTTGAAAAAAAATCTTTTCTAGCTAACTTTAAAGGCCAGAGAGAACTTTTTCAATCAAAATATTCCATTGAGTCCATTGAAAATATTAGCATTTCTATTCCATGAAGTTTTTTGCTGTTATGTCACATTTTAATTAAAATTTCTGTAACTTTCTCACTTGCACACATTCACTAAAAAGGCCAGACTTTGGTTTGGGGGTGGGTTAGCAGTCTGAAAAACCATCATTAGCTCATATGTGTCACTTGTCTGTGCCGAGGCTCACTGGAGGAAGCATGTTTAGGGCTTGTTTTTGTTGCAGTGTAGCAAATGGTCTCAGTAAAAATAGCCCTAAAGGCCTCTTTGGCCCTGAAGCCCATCAGGCATCAATGGACCGGCCGCTGTGGAGAAGAATGGGAGGATGCTTTGCAAGACAAGAGAAAGAGAGAGAATGAGAGAAAGAAAGCCCAACCGCACTGTCCTTTCTTTATCTCCTGCTGACAATACAGCAAACACAATGGCAGAAATGCTTCAGCTTACTTTAGACATTCCACGCATTTCGTCATTAAACGCCACTGTAACACCAGGCATGACCGCAGCACCCACGGAGCTTCAGTAGACACCGGTGTGAACACTTCCCCCCACCACGCTTTTCTAAAACAACAGCAGGGGACACCCAGGGCCCACGACCTTTTCAACCCTGAGAGAATGTATTGAGTGGGGGGGAAGGGAAGGGGCGCCCCCTGCAGGCCCCACAGGACACCACTGCGCTTTAAACAAGAACTTCAATAGAGAACAGCCTGATCAGAGCAGAGCAGGTCAGGATGTTGAAGCAAAAGGCTTTTAAACTCTTTATCATTTGAGTAAACAGTGTTCAGCCTGTGAAAAGGAGCAGAGGTCAAACGGCAGTCACTGCTGCCCACGTCCAGGGATTAGCAGAACTCCTTAAAGGCGAACTCCACTGATTTTTCTAAATGATCTACATCGTCGTTCAGAGTGGTTTGGTGTGAAACGTTCTGTTCTAGAGAAACTTACTGAGTAAGAATTGTTCACAGTGGTGGTGATAGTCCCCAAAGAAAACGTATTATTTCAGATTTATCACTATTTTCCGTCATCAACATTCCATATAAACCTCAGAAGACACGTGTAGGTTCACTGGTGGTTTTGGGTAGAAAATAAACTGTGTATATTTGTTGTAGTCATGGCGACCCTCGGTTTCTATCACCACCACTGTAAAAACATCTGAGTCTGTATGGTTCTCTGCAAATGAACCATTTTACTTCAAACCAGTCTTGAATCTCAACTACTGAATTACCCACCTAAACCACCTTCTGATGTTGCATTCCAAAATCAACTTCTCTACACACTCAAAAAACATGGTTCTTCAAGAGTTCTTTAAGGGTTTAAAAAATGTTCTATATAGAATTATGAACACTCAGAGAATATTTTGCATGATTAAAGAGTTCTTTCCATGGAGATATGGTTCTTCAGATTGATAGAGAAGGTGTTCTATGTGTATGGTTCTATATAGCACCAAAAAGGGTTCCGCTATTGTCACAATGTCAAGCTTATATACAATAGAAGAACCCTTTTTGGTGCTAGAACCATATACAACACATCCTCCATCAATCTGAAGAACAATTTCACCAGGCAAAGAACCATTTAAGCATGAAAATGGTTCTTTGAGTGTTCATGGTTCCATACAGAACAGCTGTCTTTACTAAAAAACCCTTGAAGAGCCATCTTTGCTAAGAGGGTAAGCCATTTAAGATGCAGCTCCAGTGCCACTGTAAGTGTAGACTCCATGTTTCTCCTGATGTGGTTTGATCCGGAGGAGCCCTGGAGGTCTACAGAGTGTGGAATGTGGTGAGGAGTTTGTGTATCCGTGGTTTTCTCTTGGCCGCCTTTGCCTCAAGCAATCTCTCTCTCTCTGTCTCTCTCTCTCTCTCTCTCGCTCTCTCTCTCTCTCTCTCTCTCTCTCTCTCTCTCTCGTGGCAGTTCACCTTTCATGTTGCACCCCCCTGTGTGCGTGACATCATTGTGTGTGTGAGTGGGAAGCATGCATGCAGGACAATCCCAAACATCCGAGCGCATGCAGGAATTCCGTGCCCAGGAATATCCATCACAAAGACACAAACAGAAACAAAAGGAAAATCCCAAAAATTCCTCCCTGCCCCCCTGAAATACTGCAGGATGTTTGTGTTTTTACTTTTAGGCCCAGAAGAGTTTGCACCAAAACCTGTGCACTGAATTCACTCATTTTCTTAAATATAAAACATGTTATAATAAATATATCAGTGCCATTATGGCTATATGTAAACAAGTTAAAACAGAACAGTGAGAATATGTATTTATTTAAGCACAACTCCAATGCAGAACATTTCTCCAGTGGTTATAAAATTAATCCCTTAATCTGCTGGTTTGTAATCAAATCAAATCACGTTTATTGTCACATCACGTTTTCACAAGTGCGAAGGCAAGTGAAAATCTTGTGTGTGTAGCCCGCTTGAAGTACTTAAATACAAAAATAAATAAAAAGTATATAATAATATATACATACACATTTGACTCTAAATGTACACATTAATATACACCAGTATTGCACCATTTACAATGTACAGTTTATTTATAGTAATATAAGTTATGAAATAAAATCTATGATATGTACAGTTGTACATATCATACATATATTTCTACGAGATATGAATGGAAGATGTACAAGATGTCAGTCTATATGTGCAGGTAAAGATTTGCTTGAGTGATCTATTATTATTAAATAATTTTTAAAAAGATGCATGCGAATATAATTTTAAAAATGATTAAAATAACACATTTAAAAAAGAAAATAAATATTAAAATAACATTCAATCAAATGAAAATAAAAAGGAATAAAACAATCAAATAAAAAAATTAAAAAACAATTTGAAAAATATTTTAAAATAATAATAAATAAATAAAAATCTAATAAAACAATTGCAGAGATAAAATTAAGTAGATAGATAGATAGATAGATAGACAGACCTTATATAGTATCTACTATGAAATTAATACTAGTAGTAAATAAGTAGTAAATAATAATAATTGCTTAAAAGCCGTTTGTAGTGAAGTGTACAATTTCCTGTATTGGTGAATATTTTATGTATGAGAGCCGCTGGGGAGCGATATATCCCTGCAAGAGCACTTAATCAATACTCTCTAAAGGAAGCGATTAGTGAGAGTGAAACTGAGTCTACGCCCTGCTCGGAGTGAGTGTGTGTGTTTGTGTGTGTATATGTGTGTGTTAGAGTGTGTATGAGAGCGTATGTGCAGTTCAGTCAGTGAGTCAGTGATAGATTGAGGTCGCTCTGAGCTCATTAGGCCAGCAAACAGGATTTATTCTGTGATGCGTTACGGGGTGGAGCTCATCAGCGCCGCTTGCTTCAGGACACACATCCATCTCCATCTCCATCTCCATCTCCACTGCAGAATCTGACAACATCACGTCCAGCTCAGTCGGCCTGCAAGAGGCACGTCAGTGTGGAAAACATGCCATCGCTGCACTTCACTGAGGAACACGCACAAAGACCTACAGCCTTTTCTCACACTGTCCCTTTACACTCTCTCAGATTCACTCAGAAGGTCCTATATGTGTGGATGAGATGGAGAGAGAGTGCAATAATGCAAAGAAACTCATAAAAACAACAACTACCTTTCATTCATATACATACATCACCCTCCATTTCATTTCCTCTCAAAATAGCCATTAAGTACGTTATTGATTTTTCTGCATCAGGAAAAGAGCAGAAAACACAAATTTTCTGCAAATTAAATGTCATATCATATTTTTATTTTTCTGCCAGATTTGTCCACTAACTCATCCCGTGGTTTTCGAGATATCGACGCTGTTCCAACCCCCGAATGTTTGGTCTGATCAGGAATGGTGTCCGTGTGCACAGCTTTTTGATCAGATGTGTGGTTTTTGTACAATTATCATTAAATCATTGATGAATTTTCCTATATGAATGAATGGGAGGCAAAAGTTGGTGCACTCAGCTTATATCATGGTGATACCATTAGCAACACTATAGCAACCACTTAGCAACACTCTAGCAACCACCTGGGATACCATAGCAGCCACCTAGCAACTACCTAGCAATACATTAGCAACAACCTAGCAACACCCTAGCAACCACCTGGAATAGCAAACACTTATCCACAAACACCTAAAATACCATAGTAACCGTTCAGCA